GCACTGCGACGCGCGATGCACCAACGGCGCCGGTCCTCGTGCGCCGTTCTCTGAGATCTAGGTCCATGTGCGGGCGTACGTCAGCGGGCCGAGGATAATCCGCGCGTGCGCCAGCGGCATTAGCGGAGTCCTTGTTCGCTCGCTCGCGGGTTCTCGCAAGCGGAATTTTTGCCCGGTCGGCGGAAAGCACGGGCGGAAAAAACGCCCGGGCCAGGGCAATTGCTCTCGTGATCATCACCATTGTCATCATTGTCGTCATCGTCGCTGTGGTCGTCCAGGCACGTCGGATATCTAGATCGTCGCCGCCGAGCCGGCCGGCCGGCCGGCCGGCCGGCCGGCTCGCTTCGAGCGCGACACGCTGAATCGTAAATTTCTGCGCGAACGTTCCGGACGGACGGATGATTGGCCGGGTTACAATAGGACATTTAAACTTGGATCACGACTCCTCGTTACGGTCGTTCTCGCGTGACGATGAGTTAATGCCAAAGCCGAGGGGATCGCTTTCCAAAGCGGTGAGCCGGCGGCGGGGTTCCCGCGATCGGGGACGCCGCGCTGCGGGAATATCCCAAGATGCGCGCACGTGCATGACCTTTGGGCGGAATTTCCTTCGCGCGGATTTCATGAGCCGCGTTTTCAAAAGACTCTCTCTCTCTCTTACAAACGTTTCTTTAATGAGACCCAAACAAAATTTGCGCGCTGTGAAATTTTCTATCCGTGGCAGCCCTGAAGGGATAGGAAAGCGATGAAAAGTCTGGACGCTGATCTCTCTCTCTCTCTCTTTCTCTCTCCCTCCCTCTCTCTCGGTTTCCAAAACGTTTCACTCGCGTGCGAAAATTCTTCACGGAGGAGCGCGATCCGATAGGTCGCGAGATTTCCATTCGCTCGTCCGCAGGAGCTTGCTAAGCAACTTCTTCCGCCGTTCTTCAAGCTGCGGAAGGACACGGACGGGGGGATGATGATCCCGAAAGCAGGACGCCTGCGCTCTGGCGCAGGTGCATTCCGAAATCGGAGACTTTGCGGTCTTAATCGCAAAGTTGGCGGGCCTTGAACCACCTCGGTTCCGTAATAGCACCAGCTGACTCACGCGATCGACTTTACGACCGGGAGATTCGGCAATCAAGGCAACCGAGCAATAAAAAAAAAATCTGTCCATCTCTGCATCTGATGTAACAAAATTAGCAGCTAAAACCAAGAGTGTGTGACCAGAAATAGTGCACACGGGACTGTCCGAGTTGGTTCAAGGCCCACCAACCTAACCTAACCTAACAACCTAACAACCAAAAAACCAAAGCTCCCGAAACCGATTTCGGGGCGTAGGGCACGCATTACTCGCAAAAAAGCCATCCGCGCGGCTACGGCACTGCGCACGTGGATGCGTGCGTGTGTGCGTGTGCACGCGTGCGCGCGTGGCGGGCGCGCAGGTGGGGAGCGGGCGGGGGAGGGGCGGGGAAGACGGGGGAAGGAAGCGTAGTACTCTCTGTCGCAGTTGTTCCACAATGCGACTGCTGCTTCCTGGCCGCCCCTCGCCCCCCTTCCTGCCCCCTGCACGTCTATCGCGATCGCCGTTCATGGATACTGCGCGCACGATATGACCATGGTGGAGCGTGTGATGCTCCGTTTCTTTCCGCCTCTCTCTCTCTCTCTCTCTCTCTCTCTCTCTCTCTCTCTCTCTCTCTCTCTCTCTCTCTCAGTGTCCTATCTCGATCGACTGACCTTTCGCGATGAGCTCACGAGGCGGCGGCGACGAGAGAGAGAGAGAGAGAGAGAGAGAGAGAGAGAGAGAGAGAGAGAGAGAGAGAGAGAGAGGGAGGGGGAGAGAGAGAGAGAGAGAGGTCTAGGAAGAGACGTCGACGATCTCGCGTCTCGCGGAGATATCGCGCGCTGCGGTCAATTGGGTCAGGTACGCGGTAAAACACGTGTGTACACACACAGACGCGCGCACGCGCCCACCAACACAGAGCGACGGCCCTCCCCCCGGAGGGGGGAGGGCCAGAACTGGAGCACCCCGGGCGGTGCGCGCGCGCGCGCGAGCGAGCGGTGAGATGCCGTCACACACGGAACGAAATAGCGAAACTTCCAAGGGAACCTTCCCACCGCGGCGGATCGTCTCTCGCTAGATCCTTTCTCCGGCATCCATTATTCACCGGACGTATCGAATAGCGGCGACGGTGCGCGAGGCGAGGCGGAGCGCGCGATTAACGGTAGTATGATGCCGTTCGGCTGTTCTCGCCGCGAAAACGGCGCGCCTCGCCTCGCCTTGCCTCGCCTCGCCTCGCCGCGCCGATTTTTCGAGCCGCGAGCCGACGCGAGCTAGAACGGATGTGAGCAATGTCCGAGGACACCCGAAAGAAAGAGGCCGCGTCCTCGCAAAAGCAGGACGTGCGCTCCACGGGGTCGCTCGCTCTAGGCACACGTACGCACACCCAGCACCGTTCACGCGTGTGTGTGCGTGCGTGCGTCTAGTGAAAGTCGAAGCGCGAGAATTATTACGCGGCAGGATCTGCGAGCAGGATCGCGGCTGGAACACGCGGCCATCAGCGACGACATTATTGGCTCCGATTGAATCGAGATGAATGACTTGAAACGCACCGCCGCTCGACCGCTGCGCCGGTGAAAGTAGGAACCTTCGGGTAAACTGGGTTACGAATAATATTGATCCAAGAGGAGTGAGATGGCGATGTTGGCGGCGGCGGCGGCGGCGACGGCGGTGGTGGTGGTGGTGGTGGTGGTGCGTTGATGGCGGAGGCAGAGGCGGTGGTGCGGCCGGAGGTGGTGGTGGAGGTGGTAGTGGTGATGGTGGTGGTGGTGGTGTTGGTGGTGGTGGTGGTGGTAGTAGTAGTAATAGTAGTAGTAGTAGTAATAGTGGTAGCGATAGCGGTAGAGGCTCGGGTCGCGCGTTTATGTACTCGCCGGAACGGCAGCGCGCGCTCTCGATAACGAAGCTTCTCCGCTTGTCCGCTGCCGCGGAGGAACCGGAGTCGAGATTGGTCGAGAGGGCTGGGCTCCCTCCGCGGTCTGATCGAAATTTCCTCGCGATCTCTCACGATGCATCGACTCGAGTCCCCTCCGCGAGGAGAGGAGGACAAATACCGACAGCTGTCTCTTCCCGATGCTACGATCTGGTATTACGGGAGTCATAAGAAACGAGTACCTGCGGTATCGCAGGATGTTTCCCAACGGCCTCCTCGGGAGCGGTGATAAACGAGCCGGGGTCTACGCTGGCAGGCAAGGCGAAAGGGATCGACGTGGGAGCGCCGGAAGTCGGCGACGCTAAACGTCGCTTCCTCGCGCAGCGAACGGAGGGGATGAAGCGCGACAACAAGAGGCCTGCCGCGAAATCGGTGTCGGGGTTTCACTTTGCTTTCAGTTGATGATCAACTGTCCTCGTTGATCAATTGTCAAAATGATAAATAATAAAAAGTCCATTCCTCTAATATCGCAAAATTGATAATCGCTGGAAACAGTCTGCAGGCAGAAGTAGCACACCGCTGCGACGTCCGAGCATAATCAGCTGATCAATCGCGGCACGTGTCCAAGTCGGTTCGAGGCATATCCACCCAACTTGCTCGCGACTGCAAGCAAAGTTTCCGACTGACACCGATCTCGGAGCAGGCCTAGGGACTCGGCGGGACTATCGGCTAGGGATGCCGATTTTAAATCGATTTAATCGATGGTCGATTAATCGGAGCCTAAAAGATCGATTTCAAATCGATTTTCTGGAACCGAATCGATTCAAGGATCGATCTGTAAATTCTGAGAATCGCCAACACGATTTTTTCAGTTTCTACTAGTAATATAGTTTTCTTTTTTAATTCTTTTTAGTTGTAATACTTGAACTCACTTAATGGCTGCACGATGCACGTTACGTGGGCCTTTAGGCCGATGTCCGATGGGTGAAAATTTTCAGCGGAACGGAACTCGCGAGCCAATCACAGCCACTCCATATAATAGTATATATTATATACATATGCATATGCATATAATAGTAAACGTGATTTCTTATTTAATAACATTTAAAAACCCTTGACTGATGTTTAACCCCTTGGGTACGGATTTATTTGAGAAAATATTTGCATGTGGAACGGTTTTATATTACAATTGTCATCATTTTCTGGTTCACGAGAAGATTCACTATCACTGCTCGATAGACGTCTTGTGCGTCTTCGAAACCTTGATATTATATTAAAATTGTCATCATTTTCTATTTCAATATCGTCTTCATCACCTTCGCTTTGTATTTCATTGTAATTGTCAATTTCAGGATCACTAAACAATTCTTCTTCAGATTTCTCAAAGTCACTTTCGCTATCACTATCATAAAATATATTCCTTGTTTTTGACATAATGGGGCAGTGTATCGCAAATAATGTTCACCGAAATACTGTAATTGCCTCTTCTATTATGACTGATACAAGCTACAATGAAATGAACAGAATTGTGCCTAACCTCAAATATCGTTTTAGACACGTCATCCGCTCCTAGGGAAAACAAGTGAATGACGTCTCTCAGACGTCAAATGTACCCAAGAGTTTAATTTTTGGTTTGACGTCTTAAACACGTCATCCGCTCCTAGGGAAAAAAAGTGAATGACGTGTCTCAGACGTCAAATGTACCCAAGGGGTTAATCAAACTAATTAAAACCTTAGCATAGAGACTTAGAGATCTTTTTCTATCTTGTTGTGGCCACACACAACACAACCAAAAGAGTTACCATCTGTTTAAGTTCTTTAATTCATATCAAACTTTATACGAATTACACGAGGTCTACTTTAGAGTGTAGAAATCTGACAGATAGTATACTCTATAATGAATGGTTCACTCTACATGCATGCACCGACTCGAATCGATTTTCTGAAATCGATTCTTTACAAAGCGATTTTTTAAAGATCGACTTTTTCCTTCGTGATTCGAATCGATCGTTAAATCGATCTGTTTGAAAATAAAAATCGGCATCCCTACCGGGGCTCCGGCAAGCAAGTCGATCGAGACGCGTCACTCACCTGCTCGCTGTCCCAAGCACCGCTCGGCCCGTTCTCGATCGGCTCCTGCTGCCTGACTTTCGCTCGGATCTGGAAAAAGACGTCGCGCGTTAGTACGACTGCCGCATAGGCCGGCCGCCTTTTTAGCGGCTATTTCGAGAACACCGCGCGATTTCCCGTGCGCGATCGGTCGGCCGGCCGGTCGGCCGGCCGGCCGGTCGGCCGGCCGGCCGGCGCGCCGAGCAGCGCGAGCGCGCGGCCGCGTACCTAAGATTAGCGCCGGGCGATAATACCTCAAGGTCCGGTTTGTTGGCCGTCTTACGAAATATCGAAAAATCGCTGCGCGTGTTTACATCCTTGGCTCGACCACGGCGGCGGCGGCGGCTTATGTCATCTCCGTGCACCGCCGCCGCCGCCGCCGCCGCCGCGGCTTCCTCGCCTGCACCTCTGACCGGTCAGGGACGTCGCGCGGCGTTCTCATTGCCAGCGCGATGCATAGGAGCGACACGCTCTATTCCGGAGCGAATTTTATCACGCACCTACTCTCCGCGCGGAGAAACGAGCGCGCGAAAAAGGCACGCTGGATCCTCCGGAGCGCTCGAGGCGACCGGCTTATAATGTCTTGCAAAATTACAAAGGCGGGGGAATTGAGCCTTGAAAGCTGTCATCGAAGACAGTCACGTTCGTGGGTGAAATTTCATCCCGATGTATATTTTTTTATCTTGCAAATCGAGAAAATCAAACCGACGCGCGATTGACTATTTCATTGTTACTATTGAATATTGGATGAGAAGCAGAGTTATTATTGTCTGCGGAGCGACTGCAAACGCTTTTCTTAACCCAAACAGAATTTGCATGCAGTGAAACTCTCTCTTTCTCTCTCTCTCTCTCTCCTCCTTACGACGCGGATCGTTTGCTTACGATCGGCAGGATATCGGGGCAATAATTTCCCGACATGTTGCCAGATCGCATTTCAAATGTCCTCTCGCGAATGTTTGGGACACACAGCTGTTTTCGCTTGTTGCATCAATATATCGAGTTTCGGTGCTTGCTTATAATCGACAATGTTCTCTGGTGACGACGACTCGGTGCGATGTCGGTCGATGCGCTGCGCTCATACCGACATACATATATGGGATTCCCGTGTTCTTTTACAGTCAACGGAACACCGAAACACCGGGGTTTTTTCTTCGTTGGCACGACGACACGTCGGATTTCCGGGTTTGCTCACCGTCGAAATACCGATGTTCCCTCCGGCACTCACTGATCGGATCGCGAACGGGCAACGCAACGTCTAGGAAAGGTCGATCCGTCGAATCGACACGAGACAATGTGCCTCCAGCACCCGGAGTAGAAAAATTAATAGGGCTCTGGTAAGGGCCTGATTATTTTTCCCTAACATTAATCGGGCTCTACTACTACTAGAGATAGAAAAACAAGGATCCTACAAGATGTGTAACAAATGGTTCAACGGATCCTTATAAGGCAATATTAATAAGGCCTTATAAAGAAATATTTTTATTATCGCTTGAGTAAAAATATTCCTTCTTTTCATTACATTAAGAAATTTAAACTGTAATTTCTTTATTTTTTTTATAACCTTATTAGCAACAAGAATTTTTTACTTTAAAAATATAGCATACTTTACAACACAATAAAATGTAGCATTCTTTGTACATAAAAATCCTGCTATTGTTTTTATTAAGGTTTGCTGCACTTCAAAACGAAGGCAATACTAGAAAAATCCTTGAAAGAGACTACAGAGAAATGAATATGTCTGAAAGAGAATGAATATAGCAACTAACAAAACTAATAAAATTTGTTTGTAATTGCGGTATGATTAAAAAATCTTTAAAAGAACCAGATAAAGCCTGCTAAATAGATACCTGCTAAAATAATACTATGACAATTTTATTACACGCTTCGAATCTCATTAATTTTCTATAATAAAACTTGATTTTGCATATCTAAAGCATCTTTAAAAGATCCTTCTAAAGCCCTTCTTAGCTTTCCCTATCAAAGCCTTATTTATTAAATTTAAGACATCCCTAAAAAATCCCTCTAAGGCTCTTTTCAGCTTTCCCTATCATCATAGTCTTATTTATTAGATCTAAAGCATCCTTAAAAAATCCTTCTAAGGCCCTTATTTATTAAATATAAGGCATCCCTAAAAAATTCTTCCAAGTTCCCTCTCAGCTTTTCTTATCAAAGCCTTATTTATTAAATTTAAGACATACCTAATAAATCCCTTCTAAGGCTCTCATCAGGTTTCCTTATCCTAAGCCTTATATTTCATAAAATCCAAGATACCCCCTAAAAGATCCATCTCGGGGCCTGACGTGGTAATAACGAGGCCTCCCTTAACAGAGCATCCTACTTTCAGTTCTATCTTTATCACGAGGGGCCTTACGCTTCATGAGGATGGCCCTAACAATTTTTCGCTCGGGACGTTTTCCAAATGAATCATCCTGGCGAGGATGAGACTTCCGCCGGGCGTTACTCGGAGAAAGAAGCGTTTGCCGAATTTCGCGAGAAATATCACCGGTCCACACGCCCGTCGCATCCCTCTCTCTCATCTTCGGCCGCTGCGCGAAATCGCAGGGAGGAGCAAGAAAGTGTTACATGCATATCCGCGCTCCGCTAATACGGAAATTGCTGTTACCCGAACGCGCGTTACGATCCCGAAGACGTTGCGTTAACACGTGACGCGTCCCGCTCTCTTCCTGGCCGCTCGCTTGCGCTACATTATATGGAAATCGGCCGCGCCGGCGCGCGTTACGAAACGACCGAAAGCGACTGCGCGTTTTCACTGCTGGCTCGCTCGTCCGCGCGAAAAGAGAAAATTAGTACACCGTTATCACGAAAGCGTCACGCGCGTCGCCGATCGGCAGCGCGCGATCTATAGATCCGCATCGGCGAGCTTGGAAAGTGGCGTGGCGACAACGGCTCGACATTTTCCCAATGTCGACGCGCGGAAGATCCTCGCGAGAGCTCGCGAAGCGAGCGACATGTCGCGCATTCTCGCGCGAACGCGGAATCCGCACGATTTCATTGTCATTGTCGGCGGGGGGCGCGGAGAGGGCGCGATATCTATGTTTGTCCGCGATAACGCGGCAATTGGCGCAAAGAGACTCGACGCCGCTTTTCTCCACCGCCCCCCCCCCCTCTCTCTCTCTCTTCCTGCCGTGTCGGAAAGAGCGAGAGGGCCCGCTAAAATTACATCGGCCATTGTATAAGAGGACGTAGGTGTTTGAATAGTCTAACAATGGACGGGATCCAACACAGCGAGTCCCCGCGGCGGCAACGACAGACAGCCAGGAAGCGACTCCGATCTAATCCGGACCGAACGATACGAGCGAGAGAGCGCGTGCAACGTGCAAGGTTCAGCGCAGCGCACACACGCCACCCCACGCCGATATCTTACGCAACGGACTTATCGTATTCGTCGACGTTAATTAAACTACCACTACCACACGCACGCGCGCGCGCGCGGACGCGGAAAGAATTAATCTCGGAGACACACACACACACACACACACACACACACGCTCGCTCGCCGCGTCTCGAAGGCCACTCGATTTTTATCACGGCGAACTTGTATTCTATCCTCGAAGGTCAGCCGGACGTGTAATTCCGACATACGTAAGCCTGAAAAGTGCCGTCACACTTTACGTCACTGGCGCGAAGATGCAAAAATCCTGCCAATAAAATCACTCGCCACCGCGTGTCAGAATATACTTGCAGCTCTCTCTCTCTCTCTCTCTCTCTCTCTCTCCGTTTCTTTCTCTCGTGGCCGACGCAGCAAGGTTGCATTCCTGAAATCGCGACACTCGACTTGGATTAACGCAGCGTCGGAATGCCGACGGTGTGTGGATTCTCGGGGCGAGCGACAATGGCTAACGCGCTCTCGAGCGGACTTTTATAAAAATCATTTGTCTTCGTGTAGAGACTTGGCAAGCTGAATTGGGCGCGCGCGCGCGCGAGCGAGCACGCAAGCGGACGAACGCGTCGAGATGCAAGAGTGTACATTTATTCACGGAGATTAAGGTCAATGAAGACTTTCAAAGATCCCCCCTCCCCCCCTCCCGCACGGGGGGCAGCGGCGCGCGCGCGCGCGCGCTCTGAAAGTGGTGCGAACACGCGACTCTGAAAACTAGTTTCTCAAAGGTCACGGCGGTGGGGCGTTTGATAAGGACGCGGAAATCGCCGATGTTACCGCATATATCGCGCGCGCAACGTGGACACGCTCGCCCGCTGAGATACGCGACGACAAGGCCATTTGTGTCCTTCGCGCGTGTGTGCGTGCATGTCCAGTGTACGTACGACGGTCTGTCGGACGTGTTAATTGGCCGTCGGCGAAAGAGACGGATGGATCGCTCGAGACGAGGAGGTGGAGAGCGAGCGAGCGAGCGAGCGAGAGAGAGAGAGGCAGGAGGCGGAGGGAGAAAAAGGGAAAGAAACGGCCGGTCCGAATTTCCGAGCGCGACACTCGAGACGTTCCAGCGTTCCACAAGCAATTAGCGGCGGCCGACGCTATCGATGGCTGGTCGCTCGTCGCCATCGCGAAATCGTCGCGCCGGCACACGACGATGACGAGCGTCGGCGAATTGTCCGCGTGGTCCGAGGTGAACGAACGGCCCAGCGAGCGGCCCGGTTAAAGGTTCACTCACCTTCTTACGTGGGTGCTGCTCCTCGATGTAATCGGGCACGATCCCCTCGTCCAGGGTGATGATCGGGGTGCCGCCGGGGGTGCTGCCCGGTGTGCCGGACGCGTTGTACGCGTAGTGCGCTTGATTGTGCGACGGATGCGCCGTCGCCGGGCACGGGGAGTTCCTCGACGGGACGCCCTCCTCGAAGAGGGGCGGGCTGGGGGTGCCGCTCCGCCAGGAAGCGCCGCTGCTGCTGCTGCTGTTTGACATGCCGCCGACCCCCGGCGAACCGGCGACCATGCTGCTTCCCCATGAACCTGCCGGCGATCACAGCTCGATCAGACCTGGCACTCCGCCATCATCGAGCGCGAAATCTTCTTCGAGCCTGGCTCGGTTTATTAGGTGTACAAATGAATAATCCAAACTTGTTCAAGCGGCTAGGAAATTATTAAGTTTCAAATAAGCATATTTTCCCGCTCTTTTACGGTTACGCAGTGTCGACATGTGGCTACTGAACATTACATTTAGTAGTAAGCGGAAGGCTCAACATAACCTCAAGAATTATTCAGTTCAATACAGTCAAAAGTAAGGCGTAACATTGGGTAACATGATAAGGTGCGTATCATTGCCGACATTGCATTCTTTACGAATTCCAAGAAGGACAAAATGCTGCAGGAGCATGCGAATCGATTTGTTTTCCTTTCTCGACGAAAATGTTGTATCGTACGATGTGCGTGCATTTTGGTTTAAAATGATGGTTTAAAAGCTCTGCGATTTCAGTCTGAGCGACGAAGAACATCCTGGAGGCCCTCGGGAATGCGGCAACAATGATATCTGGAGCAACTGCTCGCTGAGAATTCAGCACGAACGCGAAAAGAGCTTGCAGAGCAGTTAAGAGTAACGCAACAAACTATCTCCAGATGCCTGCACGAGATGGGGAAGATTCAGACAGAAGGAAAGTGGATTCCTCATGAACTCACCGAAGCCGACAAAACTCAACGAGTGGGCAGTGTGTCTTTCTCTTCTCAATAAGCAGCGTGGAAAGTCTTTCTTGTGGAAAATTGTTACGGGCGATGAGAAGCGGATACTCTACACTGACAATCCGAAACGCAGAACGTCATGGATAAATCCCGGCGAGCTACCAACATCAGTCGCAAAGCCAAGACACTTCGGAAAGAAGTGTTCTGCTCTGCATTTGGTGAGATATGAAGGGCGTGATTTATCATGAGCTGTTAAAACCGAATGAAACAATCACTGCGGACCGCTACCAACACCAATTGGTCCGTTTGAGACCAAAATTAGAACGAAAACGCCCGTACAGTGGCAAAGGAGAACGTCCTGCGGAATTGTTGCGTAACGGCTAGGCCACACATTGCTTCTACGACAAAAGACATCATAACATGAGTCTTGGCTGGGACGTCTTGAAGCACCTGTTGACGTATTCACCAGACATCGCTCCTACCGATTAGCAAGCACTTGTTCCGGTCGAGGCAACGTGCTTCGTCCGATACGCGCTTCAAATCAGTGGATGAGATCCGAAAATGGCTTGACGACTTTATCGTGTCCAAAGACACAACAAAAAAGAGACGACATTTTTCCGACATGGAATTCATCAGCTGGCAGGGAAGTTGACTCAAAGTTATAGAAAACAACGGCGAATACTTTGATTGGCAGAAATTTTACTTTCTTTTAAAACAAACCTTGAATTTAGCTGAAAAATTTGGATTATTCGTTTATACATCTAACAGACGATCGAGTGCGAGACGAACCTCGAAGTGGCTGAAAATCGGTCGGTTTTGTACGAATGGCTGGCTGCCGAAGATAAATCTTTCTCTCCACCGTGGAATCCACTCATTGCCGGAAAGAGAAAGGTTGGACAAGATTTCGATTGAAATGATTTAAATCGTTACGTAAACAAAGCATCCGCTCATCGTCTACCCTAAAAGTTAACTCTAACCTGGTACAAGACACCTGATACGATCTCTCTCCCTCTCTCTCTCTCTCTCTCTCGTTTTAGACGGCGAGCGGATTCACTCGGCTCGACAGTGATCGCCAGCTCCAGCTTGAATCACCGGGGCCGCAACTAAACAACTCGCGGTACATCCTCGGGTACATCCGGAGCCCTCGTGTCACCGGCTCTCCATCGACCGTGAATTTAATTTGTCACACGCAGTTGGCTACATATTTGACACGTGAGTGCGCTGCGCGATGCGGCGCATGCGATATCGTCGCGATGACGGTCAACAACGGTGTTGACACTACAAGCACCGACGGCCAACGGCCCGTTTCTACGGGCCGCTCGTCGGGACGACGAACTTCTGAAGAGAGCGTAAATAGCAAGATGTGCTTCCTCTCCACTTCCGCCTAGCGTCAATTAGAAACGCGAGACGCCCGGTTGCCGCGCGATAGATACTAACCGTAGTCGTACAATTGGTGGCAGTGAGGTGGCAGGTTCTCAGGACTCTGAGGCGAGCCCGAGAGCGACATAAGGACCAGGGCGGCAGTGCAGTCGTCCATAAAATCAGTGTCGCGGAGGCGTCTGTACATCACCCTCTCGCTCCAGCCGCTGCTCGCCCGCTCGGAATCATTGTACGTGCTCGGTCGCCGCTTCCTGGATCTGAAACACACATTGCGTCGTTCTATAGTCAAGCACGCCATGATGAAGAGCACGTCGTCGCGCGACTAAAGCCCGCGAGCAATAGCTCGCCGGCGGCTAAATCTGCAAGCTGCGAAGCTCCCAACGATCGAACGACGCACGTTCGCCTTGCTCACAGTCGCGAGGGTGATTTTTTTTCCATGGCGCGTCTTTGAGCAAGCTCTTCTAGACGCTCGACTCTTACCTCGCCAACGCCTAGAATTTAAAAGAGAGACGCGGCCATGTCGGCCATGTGCAATTCTTGTCGCGCTGCGATCGCTGCGAAGAACCGGCGACTTTAGACACGCGGAGGTCGTTTCCCGACGACCTGGTTGTCTTCCTGCCTGCGAACAAGGTGGCCAGGTGGCGAGGAGGCATTTTTCAGAGACCCACCAGTAACCACTCGCCGATCCGCCGATCAAGATGGCAGCGCCTCGAGCGCCGGCGTAACGGTAGCTCTCGCGAAAACGCTCTACGACAGCGAGTGCACGCGATGCGAAAGCGTCGGGAAACCCGGGAGTAATTCTCCTCCGAGAGCCCCGGAGTTTCCTTCTCTCTTTCCCTCGAGTAACACGACACGGGGGGATAATCGGCGTCGAAGTAACCGGCGCGTTTCTGGAATTACGTTTTCTTGAAACCGCGCGAAATGATACATCGCGTCTCGCCGAGTTTCACTCCGGCGAAGCCGCGGCGACCGCGTTCGCCGGGTGGGTAATATATCCGCGAGCTGGGCAAGCTATAACCGGCGTAGTCGCTTTTCCAGGAAGGACTATAGATTTCCGCGTTAATACTGCACACACACACACACACACACACGCGCGCGCGCGTACGTCCAGCGTGCCGCGGATCGGCGTCGTTCTTTCGTTCTTTCGCTCGCTCGCTCGCCCGTGTCTCTCTCGCAATCGCAAGTGCTTTCTCCAGCTAGACCAACGGTCTTTCCGACCGAGTGAAACACGCGCACGCGCAGTAAATCGGCGGCAAGTATGTGCCCGGCGAACGCGCGTGTATATCCGCGTGTGACGTATCAGCGCGCGTATTTGAAGAGCGAGCGGCTTTTGCCCGACTAGCCGAGTAGAAAAATTAATAGGGCTCTGGAAAGGGCCTGATTATTTTTCTCCAACATTACTCGGGTCCTAGTAGAAATAGAGAGACAAGGACCCTGCAAGATGTGTAACAAAAACAAAATTTAACGGGGGTCCTTATAAGGGAATACTCTAATAGGGCCTTATAAGGAAATATATTTATTATTGCTTGAGTAAAAATATTCCTTCTTTTTGTAAAGGATTGTAAAGAAATAAAGAAATTTAGACTGTAATTTCTTTATTTCTTTACAATCTTGTTAGTATACAAGAATTTTTTATTTAAAAAATATAGCATTCTTTACAATAAAATATAGCATTCTTTACGCATAAAAATCCTGCTACTGTTTTTATTAAAATTTGCTGCATTTCAAAACGAAAGCGATATTAGAAAAATCCTCGGAAGAGACTAATGAATATAACAACTAATAAAACTAATAAAATTTATTTTTAATTGCAGTATAATTAAGAAAATCTTTAAAAGGACCAGATAGAGCGTACCTACTAAAATAACACTAAACTACGACAATTTTATTACACGCTTCAGGTCTTTTATTAAGATCCTTCTAAGGCCCACATCCATATTAAAGCGTTATTTCATAAAATCTAAGACATCCCTAAAAATCCTTCTAAGGTCCTTCTCAGCTTTTCCTACCAAAGCCTTATTTATTAAATCTAAGGTATCCCTAAAAGATCCATCTCGAGGCCTGATGTGGTAATAATGAGGCTCTAATAATAATTCCTCTTTAAGGGATTTCTAGGGACATCCTACTTTCAGCCTTATCGGGGCTTCATGAGGATGACCCTAACAATTTTTTGCCCGACTTTCGGCAACAGCCCTTGTCCGCTCTTGTCCGCGAATACGAGCAGACACCACGTGGAGGACTCGCACGAGAACGGCCAAGTGACATCCTGTCTCTCTCTCTCTCTCTCTCTCTCTCTCTCTCTGCGTGCACGTCGAAAAGCCGAAGGCCGCTGCGGCCACGAGAGTATGTTAATCGCGCATACGATAAATAAAAAAATGCCACGTTCGAGTGGTTATCATTTTTAATACGGCGTAAACGTGCGCACGCTCGCGGGCGAACCAGCTGCTCGTATGCATTATTAATAACGCAAGCGCGTATTAATTAGGAACTAACAGTAGCGTCAGACGTCGAGGGGAAAAAAAGAGCAGAAGTCCTTCCAGAAGACCGCGCAACAACGACAAGGCGAACTCGTATTTCTGCCTCTTCCCCTCCGCCCTTCCCTGTTCTTTCTTCCGGGAGTAACTGTTCCTCCAACGGAGAACGACTCTCTCTCTCTCTCTCTCTCTCTCTCTCTCGCCTCTGTTCGCACACTCCAACTAATTTTCGTCGATTTCCACCGGTCACGTGTCCTCTCGGCTCATCCGAGACCAGCGAGGACGACGCGCGGAGGCGTGAGGTGCCAGCTCGGCATTGCCTAGTCCCCCCTCTCTCCCTCTGTCAGCGCGGTGTAGCTTTCGAGATAAGATCGAGCGCGGCTAGAAGTAGCGGGCTCTCGGAGAAGGTGGGCAAGCCCTCTCGAGCCTCTATCGCGTATGAAGGACAAAAAGTGTGAAACGTCAGAGAGAGGGCGCGAAGACGGCGCAAGCCAAGGCCGCCGCTAAGCCGCTCGAGCGCGCGCGCGAGCGGTACATCGAGAGTCGAAAGTGAAATACACACACACACACACACACATACATATACACATGCAGCGCGCGCCGGCCGGCGTAGAGAGAGAATGACGCACGTACCAGCTGGTATTTCGAAAGCAACACCTCCCCGAGCGCTCGCTCGCTCGCTCGCTCGCTCCGCGCGCGCCGTCCCGTTTTTCGCGCGTGTGCCAGCCGTCATATGTGTCGCGCCACTTGGAGCGAGAAGGAAGGAGCGAGAGCTCCTTGGACTCGGTTCGCGCTCGGCGCGCGAGGGCCTCTTGCTCTCGCTCGTTCATGTCCACCGGCCGATTTGAGGAAGCAAAAGGGGAACAGGATGAAGAAGCGGAATCCGCGGCTGCTTTCATCTCGCAAACTCGCTCCGGCGAGGCCCGGCCGGCGAAATTTCTGTAGTCTCCGGCGTTTTTGTTTTTTTTCTTTTTTAGCCAAGCGGATCGGTCAAGATGGCAGGAATCGTCGGGATCGATTGCGTCGATAAGGCCGCCTCTGACCTGGGAACATTCCAGCTGCCCCCGCGTTTCCATTTCCCCGGCTTTCTCGCTTCCTTCACGCTTTTCTAGTCGCGCCGCCGGCGCGGCGGTGTACACGCACGCGCGACCGTTGGCCGTTAATTGCGAGATTATGATCGACTTGTGATTACCGCGGAAGCGGCCGCACCGATTCCGCAGTTTCATTAGAACGCGCGCTCGTAGATCGGCCTGCTCGCTGCGAAAGGAAACGGTTGGTCGCGGGACCGTTTACTTTTCAAGCAAGCTGTACCGTTAGCCCCGCGCGCGCGCGCGCGCTGCACGTGCGTGCATGTATGTGTGTGTGTGTGTGTGTGTGTGTGTGTGTGTGTGTGTGTGAGAGTTTCAGCGGATTGAAAGATCGCGCCGGTTCGCGACGTGAAGAAGATAATCGGCAGCGGCGGTGCTAATTAGAAGAAGCACCGCCGGAGGCGCGGCTCTCTCGCGAAGGGCGAGAGCGCGAGACCGAGCGTCCGCTGGAAAGCGAGAAGCAACGCGCCGGAAAATCTTGTTTACGGCTCACTCGAGCGTTCCGTCGGCGACGGCGCGGCCGCGCGAGACGGATGTCCATCCAACGATTCCTGCGCCGGCCAAACTGCCGCTTCGCAAGCGGAAGGTCGATACGATCGCGAAATCTCGAAAAGCGGCCGACGTGCCTGCCGCGGATTAGCCGCGTTGGAAAGCCGCGAGGATCGAGCGAGAGCAGCCGCTGAAGAGCGGAACGCACCATGCCGTAGTCTCTTGTCGACGTTTCCAGAGGCGCAGAGGAAAATACGCGACACATACACACACACACACACATACACGCGCGCGCGCGGCGACGCGTTCTCCCAGCCGGCGGAGACTGACATTGAAAATTAGCATGTAAAGCGGCGTGTGCACGCCCACCATTCCGTTCTCTAGGAACACACATCGTCATCGTATTATGCAACGCTCAAATTCATGGTGACACGTGCGATAATCGCGGCGACGCCGAGTGCGCGTGCGCGTCGGCCGAGCCGATGACAATTTTTCACAGCACCCAAAAGAAAGTATTCCATTTGTAAAGTGACTTTTCCCATAGTCTCATATTCTAGGCGAAGCCTTTCTCAGATAAAGAATTCCTCTTTCGATAAAGCGATTAAAGTGAGCTGTTTCTCCTCCTCCTAAAATTTATTAGATATTATTCCGACTGCTTCTTATTCTTATTCTCCTCTTAATTCAAGAGGATTTCCTCTCGTATCAATTAATTTGCCTCTCGTATGAAGAGGAATATGTAACATATAACGAAGAGATAATTTACTCCTATTTGGTCAAATACAGTTTATTGTAATCTATTGCCAGAAGTTGACTAATGTATTCTTTCTTTTGACCACGTTTCATACAATTGGTTATGATGAACACCTTTGTTAGTTATGAGGTCCGTAATAAAACTGATTGGAAATTTATTTGTTATGATGATCTGATTTCATTCGTGCCTACTCATTGTAAAACTGCAGCCAGAAATACATCTATACATGTATTACTTTTCGCTAAACATAATAATTTTTTCGAATTAACTAGTATAACCAGTAAGAATAAAGTACAGTAAGAATATGTAATAATTTTCTTTAAAAAAAAAAAAAAAAAAAAAAAAAGAAAAAAAATTAAATAACCTGTATAAGAGGAAATTTATTAAATTAAAATCAATAAGATTTGCATTATACATATAACATATAATATTCCTCTAACTTTAAGAATAAAAGT